GAGACGGGCCGGGCCCCAGAGCCAGGCGGACAAAGCCACTGCGCCCCGCTTTTCACGGAGCCGTCACGTGGTCAGGCCCCTGGGGATGCAGAGTGACGTGACGACCCCATAGGAAATATAGAGAGAGGAGAGCGACGGTGAGGCTTGAGACCGCCCTGGCTGCGATGAAGGACGGGTTTGCACCGTTTCTTGTCATTTGCACACATGCTCCTCTAGTTCCCCTCTCTGCCTGATCTAAGGACAGGCGACAAGATGTCCCCATATCACGTGGTCAGGCCCCTGGGGATGCAGAGTGACGTGACGACCCCATAGGAAATATAGAGAGAGGAGAGCGACGGTGAGGCTTGAGACCGCCCTGGCTGCGATGAAGGACGGGTTTGCACCGTTTCTTGTCATTTGCACACATGCTCCTCTAGTTCCCCTCTCTGCCTGATCTAAGGACAGGCGACAAGATGTCCCCATATTACCGGGACCTAGATATGCAACTATGGGCCAAACTTCCCCCAGAAAAAATTGTCTTGAGTTTTCACACTTGCTATCTGGTCACCCTATCCAAGGTTGGCAAGTTGGGGCACGTGTACCCCTTGGAGTTACACCGCTGTCTCGTAGGGGCCTCATCAATTCATCTAGCTAGCCGCCGAGTTTACCAGCTGGCTCCATCGAGCGCACTAGCGAAATCAGTGCAAGTGACAATTGCTCACGGACTTGTGGCTACCGCACGCCGACATGCGAAGCACAATACATGCCAGCTGGTTTATTCCGTAGCGACGCGGTGGAAAGGAGACGGTACGTGAGACAGGCCTGGGACGCTTTTGTGACTTTACGCCTGCGTCTGCCGGCGAGCCGGTTTCCAGTGAGGGGAAACGTGGGGCTACGCTAGGCAAACCAGACTCCGGGAAGGGGGACGGTAGCGGGTTGAGCGCCTCTCTTTTGCGCCCCCCTTGAATTCAACTCTGGAGAGCTCCCACCACCCCTTGGGGACTGAATGGGGACTTCGGGCACTGAAAGCACGAGGCTCTAAGGCGCTCAGACAGAGGCTGCTCCCCTGTGGATCCGGCCCTGAGTGGAACACAAAATGCACGTAGGCCGGCCCGGGAAGCAGCCTGTGCTGTGGAAATGGGGATGCGCCCCGGCTTTGACGCCGACAGCAGAGCGGCCCTTTTATGCCACGTCCAGCTTACTCTCGCAGGGCTGGATTGGGGCTGCAGGGCGCGAGGAAGAGTTTCTCGTGCATCTCCAAAGTCCCAATTTTGTCCAGGTGGGTACTTCTGGGTGGTGGATTGGTGGGTGCTGGGGCTTCTGGGGGATCAGGGGAGCAGTGGGTGGAGGGGAGGCAAGGCAGCTCCCTGCCTGTCCTGGCACCGCAGACTGCGCTGCGCCCCAGAAGCGGCCAACAACAGGCCCGACTCCTAGGTGCGCGTGGGGCAGAGCGAACGTGGCTTCGTGCCCTGCCCCCCCTCCAAAGCTGGCACCCCCTCCTGCACCCCAAAGCCCCACCCTGGAGCCCCCACGCCAGTCACATTCTGCTGGGTCGTGACATCGACAATTCTCTTCTATCAGGTGGTGAGAAAAACGGTTGGAGAACGGCTGGGCTAAAGCATAGGTCCATGTGGCCCTCTAGTGGCTCTCCCAGTCACTCTAGCAGCCTGCTAGTTGCCTGCTCTGGCAGAAATTTTTTTTGCTCCTAGCGGCAATGGAGGCCTGGTTTTCTGCGCTGGGCGTCACAAGGGGTATGTCTACACTTTCACCCTCTTTCGAGAGAGCGATGCCAATGAAGCCAGGATTTAAATATCCCGCGCTTCATTTGCATATTCGCATTACGGCGCTATTTCAAAATAGCAGATGCTGTTAAGACGCGGTTATTTTGAGAGAAAACCTTTCTCTCGAAATAACTGGTAAACCTCATTGTATAAGGAATAAGGGTTATTTCGAGAGAAGGGTGTTCTCTCGAAATAACCGCGTCTTAATAGCGTGTTATTTTGATATTTGAGAGAAGGGGTTTTCTCTCGAAATAACCACGTCTTAACAGCATCTGTTATTTCGAAATAGCGCCATAATGTGACTATGCAAATGAAGCACGGGATATTTACATCCAGGCTTCTTTTGCAATTTCGAATGTCTTCATTTGCATCCCTCTCTCGAAAGAGGGTGCAAGTGTAGACATACCCAAGGTGAGTTCCTGTTGCTGACTCTGGCATCAGTGAACAGACGGGGTTCCCAGTGCGGGCGGAGCGTGCGGAGACGGAGGCAGGCATGGGCCAGGGGGCGAAGCGCTCGTCTTTCTGACTGACCTGTCAAATCGAGAACTTGGCCCCAGCGGTGGGTAACTTCTGGTTCCGCGAGCCGTCCAGTCCGGCCTCCGTGGGCCGGGCCACATTGACGTCTGTGGGCGTTAGGCGTGGGCCTACATTAACAGGGTGGGTTTGGTGAGAAGAGACGGCTGCAGCATGCGCCCCTCTAGGTGGCTTCACAGCCGGTCTCGCTCCAGTATGGTGGTTTTCAATCTGTGGTCCATATGCACCTGGGCAGGGGTTCCACAGACAGCGTATTAAAATTTCCAAAGGGGTCTGCACCACAAATTGAATTGTTTAGGGGTCTGCAAATGGGAAAAGATTTAAAACCACCGGGCTAGTATCGTAAACAGCTTGTCATCATTAATACGGATTTATCCTCACCACCCCCTGCGGGACAGGGAAGTACTAGCCTCTTTTTGTAGAAGAGGCACAGAGTAGAACAATGTTTCGGTACAAGTACCCTTAGAGGTACCCGAGAGAAGTCTGCGGGGGTCTGTCAACACAACTGAAATTTGGAGAAAACTGTACTTTTGTTTTCAAGTTTTACAGCGCTTTATTATTTTTGTACTTTTTACACCCCAAAATTTTGTCACCTGCCCGGCTGCAATGAAGTTGTTTACACAAATGTGTTACAATGGTAGAAAAAAATGTTGTGTGTCTAAAAACTGTAGGTATTGGGGGTACTTATAATTTTTTATTTTTTTTTTTTTGCAAAAGGGGTACTTTATCAAAAAAGGTTGAGAAACACTGGAGTAGAGTAAATTGGAGTAGAGGGGTTTGGAGTGGGTCGCATATGAGGAGAGATTAAAAAGACTAGGACTTTTCAGCTTGGAATAGTTGAGACCAGGGCTACGTCTAGACTGCAGGCGGATCTTTCGAAAGAGAAATCCGCTTTTTCAAAAGAGAGCACCCAGCGAGTCTGGATGCTCTCTTTCGAAGACGGCCTCTTTACATTGAAGAACGCCTTCTTTTGAAAGAGGAACTTTCGAAAGAAGGCGTTCTTCCTCGTAAATTGAGGTTTACCGCCATCCTGAGGAGGCTGTGAAGGTTAGGACTATAATAGGATTTAAAACAGAACTAGATAAATTCATGAAGGTTAAGTCCATTAATGGCTATTAGCCAGGATGGGTAAGGAATGGTGTCTGTATGTCAGAGGGTGGAGATGGATGGCAGGAGAGAGATCGCTTGATCGTTATCTGTTTGGTTCATTCCCTCTGGGGCACCTGGTGCTGGCCACTGTCAGCAGACAGGATACTGGGCTAGATGGACCTTTGGTCTGACCCAGTATGGCTGTTCTTATGTTCTATGTACAAGTAGAGCTCAAGACTTCTGACTCCCAAGCTAGGGGCCTAACCAATAGGCCACCCTGCCTTTAGTAAAAGCCTGCCTTTTGTAAGGAAAGCCTCCCCCCCCACCCAGTTTTCCTGCTCTCCTCAGAGAACAAGGACTTGCTTGAGTACTTAGGGCTCAGAGCGGAGGGTTTAAAAAAGAAATGGTTCTATTTAACTCAATCTTTCCACTCTGCCTTTGTTTTTCCTTCACCGTCCCTCCGGCAGAGTTCTTCGATGACTACTCGGAAGGGCGAGAATGTGTCAACTGCGGAGCCATGTCCACCCCGCTCTGGAGGAGAGACGGCACAGGCCACTACCTATGCAACGCCTGCGGGCTCTACCACAAGATGAACGGCATCAACCGGCCCCTGATCAAGCCCCAGCGGCGGCTGGTAAGGAAAGACTCGGTGCCGCCTACGTCCTGAACTCCCGAACAGGAAACGCTGGGCCGGGGCGCGCCATGCAGTGACAAGGCTTAACGCCCTGGGCCAACGCTTCACTGCCTCGCCTTGCTTTCCCCAGCAGCCTCCTGAGCCCTTCTCTGTGCCACAAAATGGCGTCCTGGAACACCCTGAGATGCCTTCTCTTTGGCTGCATCGGTGCACAGGACTGTGGGACACACAGGAGACCCCAGCAAGCTTACCAGGCCAGCCCTTGGCTTTGCAGGCTCCTACCCACAATAACGTCTCCAGGGCTCTCTCTCCGACCCCCAGCTCCCTTTCCACCGCCAGCCCGGTCCCCTCCCCGTTCTCCTCCATGACTACCCACATCTCCCTCGGGCTCTGGTGACCCCAGGGAGGTAAACAGGGCGGCCATGATGCCCGGGGCAGAAAAGGCCAGGCAAGGAAATGGCTGCCTGACAGGCAAACCTGACAGGAGCAGTAGATACTGCTCTGTGGGTGAGGCACTGGGCTGTTAAAAACGAAGCGACAGAGAGCAGGGCCGGGGCGGGTTTCACTGAACTCTACACACTGACTGGGATGGCCATTTTGTCTGTCACGCCAGGGATGGAACCGGGCACCTCCAGGGTTAAATACACATCCAATGACAGCGTGCGTTAAAGCTCCTTAAGGGTACATCTACGCGGCGGCGCTGTTTCGGGATACTTCCGGGATCCCGAACTAGCCCTTCTGCGTCTTTCGAACACGCACGGTATTTCGAAATCGCTTTTGAAACTGCAGGCGCCATTTTGTCTGTCACGCCAGGGATGGAACCGGGCACCTCCAGGGTTAAATACACATCCAATGACAGCGTGCGTTAAAGCTCCTTAAGGGTACATCTACGCGGCGGCGCTGTTTCGGGATACTTCCGGGATCCCGAACTAGCCCTTCTGCGTCTTTCGAACACGCACGGTATTTCGAAATCGCTTTTGAAACTGCAGGCGCGCGCTTCACAGCCGCAAATGACGAAATAAGCTGTTTCAAAACACACAACCCACGCTGCTTAGCACAAATTGCGTAGCTTGTTTGGAGCTATGGGGGCAATGTAGACACCGTAAGTGGGTTTGTGATAGACGCTTACCTACTGTGGAGCAGGCCTGGCGAGGGACCGGTAGCGCATACTGAGAGATCTTACATGATCTCAGCAACCTTTCCAGAACGAGTCTTCCCCGGATTTGAAATTTGGTGGGTTTTTTTTTTGAAGAAAAATCTGATCGACAAGCTCCCATATGGAAAGCTCTACTTTGATCCTTTATTTGGTGCCACAAGAGGGTCAGGCGCTGCACAGCAGATCGTACAGACATTGGGAGGGGGAGTCTCTGGCTTTGGTATCAGAGGGGGAGCTGTGTTAATCTGGATCTGCAAACGCGACAAGGAGTCCTGTGGCACCTTATCTGCATCTGACGAAGTGGGTCTTTGCCCACGAAAGCTTATGCTCCAATACATCTGTTAGTCTATAAGGTGCCACAGGACTCCTCGTCGCTTTGGCGTTAGTGGCAGCAGAATCGTGTTGTTTGGCTCCTGTTGGAAGACAATCACTGCCCTTTCCCAAGCATTACAGAGAAAATGTAGTTGAGTCGGTCCAGCAGGAGACGCCGTCTCAGGTTTTGCTAGAGACTCTAAGTGGCAGAATGCATCGGCATCGGGGGATAAAAACAGAATCCAAATCCATCCATTTGGCTCCTCTGAGCAGCTGGTACCATGAGCTGGCAGCAGCTGGACAGCAGGCCAGGGAGGAAGGAAAGCTGAGCTTTCAGAAGAAGTTATTATAAGGAACAGAGTAATGCTAACCAGACATCTCAACCCAACCCCTTCAAACCAAGGGCGGGCAAATACCAGCCCGCCAGGGTCCCCACCGCTGTATTTACCTGCACGGCCACAGGTACCGGCGATTGCAGCTCCCATTGGCTGCGGATCGCTGTTGCCAGCCAATGGGAGCAGTGGGAAGCAGTGGCCCAAGCCACGCCACTTTCCGCTGCTCCAGCTGGCCAGGTGACCCTGGCTAAGTGCCGCCTTGTAGTTGCCCACCCCGGCGGTAAACACAGCTGTGGATGGCCCCAGGCCAAGCAGCCAGGTTAAACCCCCTTTCATGGGAAGGGCTGGAGTGGGAAGGTCCAGATCTTTATTTCCCAACTGGCCCCTGTTTCCGTGCTGGGACCAATCGAAAACCTGGATCCGCCCCGCCACCGACCTTTGTAGCTCAGCACCGGATAGTTTGGGCCCAGTTGCAGGCTCAGCCACCGTCCGGGCCCGTCTCACTGGACGCTGCGAGCAGATCGGGTGGGCGTCTTCGGCTTGGACCTGCATCAGCTCTGAGAGGGCGTGCGTGTGGGTGGGAGGAGCCAGGAGTGCGGGGGTCTCTGCCCATGGAGCTGGTGACCTATTGCTGTCCAGCTGGAGGAGAAAACGGCTTGGTGGGCTCACTCGAGCCCATGGCAGGGACCTAACGTGCCTGAGGGTCATGGCTCCAGGCCCCTCCAATGCTCGTCCGGGGCCCAGATCTTCTCTGGCCCCAGGGCCCAGAATGCGTCCCTCCCAACGCCATCAAATGTTTATCCCTGCGTCTTCCCCCGGACAGCTCAGCCCCTGCCTCTCTCTTCCTGCAGGGGGGATCTAAGTTAGAAATGCCCGCCTGGTACCTGGCGTAGCTTCCTTCCCGCTCTGTGCCATTCTCAGCTGGCTGCCATGTTGAGTGGGCAGGGCTGGAGCAAAGCCCTCCGTCCCCGCACCCCCCTGGTCTCCACTCTCTGCTCATCTGCTTCCCCCTGCCCTGCCCGGGAAGGGTCTGGGGATGTGGGTCTCCAATGCAGGGAAAGCCCTCTATTCAGCCACCCCCTCTTTCTGACCACTTGGGCGTGACCTTGGGCAAGTCCCTTGACCCCGCTGTGCCTTGGTTGATCCAGCTGTAAAATGGGCACAGCACCGTTGACCGTCCTGCCCGGGGGTGCTGTGGCGCTGAATCTGCGCCATTGAAAAGCGTGCTGCGCTCCTTCGGCGCCAGGTGTGCTCTCCCTCGCCCAGGACAGCCGCCAGCCCCTGCCGCGGGGCCCACGAGTCGGGGCCACCTGGAACGCGCCTGCGAATGGCAGCGCCGGCGCCTTGTTGACGTTGCTGTTGCTTTTGTCTCTTGCTGCAGTCCGCCTCCCGCCGCGTGGGGCTCTCCTGCGCCAACTGCCACACGACCACGACCACGCTGTGGCGCAGGAACGCCGAGGGAGAACCCGTCTGTAACGCTTGCGGACTGTACATGAAACTCCACGGGGTAATGCCAGTGAGACCCAGGGAGGAGAGACCATGTGCCGCAGGGGGGTGGGGGAGGGAGGGGGCGTTCCACTCCTGCAGTGGTAAGCGTGGAACGAAACCTCGTGGAAAATAGAATAGACGCCCGCCTGCCCTTTGCGCTTGACATGGGCCGTTTACGCTCGCACGGCGTGCAGCAGGGAGGTTGTGCTGCGCCCCCACTGATCTCACATCCACCCGTTGACTTTGTGGGCGGGGGTGCGGCCTTGTGCTTCGCTGACGCGCTGCTGCAGGGACGGGTGCGTCCGTGGGTCAGACACAACACATGGTTGTGCCTTGGCACGGACTCACAACTCCTTTGCACTATCCAGACCAGACCCGGCCAGTCTATGGACCGGATTCCTTACCGCACATCTGATCATGCACCTCCCACCGATATTAACGACCCTGGCTTGTGTGTAGGATCGTCTTTGCGGGCTCAGTATGTGCAGGCCAGGATCAGAATGGTCTTGTTACTCCCTCACAGCTGGAACGGGGCGGAGTTCTGGTACCTGTGGCTGGGAGTCCACACCGGACAAATTCAAGTTAGAAATAAAGCACCATTGTTAACACTGTGGGTTGCTAACAGGGATGTAAGCAGCTAGTCGACTATCCGAGACACAAATGCTTATCGGATAGTCGTCTCGACTAGTTGCTTCTCCCCCCCCCCCCAAAAAAAAGAATAATATAAAAAACACCAATTTTGCTTAGTACGATTAGCAGCCATCTCTAAAAGGATAGCTTCAAAACCTCTGTTACACTGAGGGAAGCTTGTACCTAAATTTGCATCTGATTATTATTAATTAAGCCTCAGTGGAAGTTGCAGATACCACCAAACCTCATCTATCATAGGTGTTTGCTGTCCCAAGAATGCCGCAGTAAATAAAAACTTTGCTCACTTTAAAAGGGCCAAACCATATATTGTAAAAGTTTTAAAAGCACAACAAGGAAAAGCAGGTAAACACTTTTTATCCCAACCCCAAGAAGGAAAGAAGATAGAAAAGTTCCCCACAAACACTAGGTTACACAAAATACAATAATTACTCAGTCCAGTAGTTGACAGTGGGTGAGAAGCTCCTGTCTCTCAAACCTTTGGCTAATTGAAAGCCTCTGGTGAAAGACAAGGAGGAGATCCCTCGCAGTGGTGACCCTCTGTGGTGCTCTCGACCTCAAGCCTTAGGCTCCTTCCGAGCCCTTAGCGAGGAACAGAGAGGCGATCCCTCGGAGACCCTGGGGACGGGTATGGTGCAGGCAGGTAGTGATGATCCTCGTCCGAGGCCTTCCGCTCCTAGGCGCAGGAATCACTTGGTGGAGACTTGCCTGGCGCTGATCTTCAGGTGGCTTCTGCTCTTTAGCAGGAACCGATGATAGACAGCTACCTATCCCTAATACCTGGAAACAAAACGTGACTAGCTAGACTCGACGCTCCCATCACGGACAAGTACCCGGCCGCCTAACGGACACACTCGATGACGAGATCTAGCTAACCCTAACTAACTACAGACTAACATAAACAGACAGGAGACAAGCAGGAACAATGGTGGCAGGAACGAACACAGACAACTGCTAGCCAGGCCTTCAAAGCACCCTTCTCATAAATATTCATGATCTTTATCTTTAAAATCATTGGAGCCTGTACAGGAAAACAAGGGTCCCTGATTGGGTGCTTTGATAAACAAGTTGTAACAGCCTGGATCAGTGTGCTGCATGCAGCAGCACAGTGTGACATGTGCAGCTACTTGCCTGCCTTGTGCAACACTCCTAGAAACTTCTATATTAACATTCCTAACAGCTACTACATATTCATAACTAAACATGAATATTAATGATTGCTTATACATATTAATGAGGCATCAAAAATGAGCAGGCTACACCCCCCCCCTTGCTGCCTCTATCAGAAAAAGGCAGGA